CAATGTGTGTGTGTGTCAATATGGGAAACAGTTGGTGGATGAGCAGTGAGTGCCTGTTGTTTATGCTTCCTACGGTATTTCCTCTCTCTGATGGTAATACATCTGCTGCATTTTGGAAGCAGACCCCCGATTAGTGAGCACGTTGGTTTTGATCAGGTGGATGTCGGGAAAGGCGTCGCCGCCGCACAAAACATCTGCCTGATGACTGCTGGTGTAAACAGCTTTGTTATTGATTGGTGTTAATCCGTCAGGGAAATGCTCTCCTCTGCCTCAACAATTGCTTTTTTCTAATTACTGGGACTGTCAGCTTTGATAACTCTGTTCTATCTATCACACATGTATGGACTGTACCCCGGCTGACTGAGCAAACACCGGCAAACAGGCGGGTAGGAGAGCCCCCCCAACACCACTTCCTGCGGTCTATCCTTTCATCTGTTTATTGCGTTCCAGTAGCAATAACATAGATTGTACAAAGTCAACACGACTTTTAACGTCCTAGCTTACGAATGCCTTTCCGATGAGTTAGCGGTAGCGGATTACAAACTGATCGCCAACCCGGGTCAACACGGCGGGGCTCGAGCTCAGCAGAGAGGCTGAGGGGGATCATCATTTTCATCTGTGTATTAATCAAACAGACATATGGGTTTAGCTAATTGCTCTGGGAAGATGTCCAACTAACATTTTTTTCCTTCCCTAGAGTTGGCTCAGAGCTATGCTCAGGAGATGAACAGCTTGACGGCGATTGCCCCAGTCGTAGTCAAGTGGGTGGGATCTTCATGCCCGGAGATTTCAGGATAACAGTCAAAGCTGCTACTCTTCTTATTGCAGGTGACTACTTATTAAACTGCACGGTGCCGACACCATTAGTACCTACTTCTTGTTAATGTGTATAGATGCTGGTAAATATAGTTTACTAATCATTTCCTTTCCTACCGTATGTTTTTCACCATTTAACACCTGTTTGAAAAACGCTGCCAAAAAGACTTGAACTTATTGAAGTTAAAACTATTAAATTCCATCCAACTTTTTAGACCCACTCACTGTCAACTTTCTGCTATATAAGCACAGGATTCAAGAGTGCTTATTCACCATATCAATCAGAAGCCAGTCCATGTAAGACCAGGCTCTGACTCAGCAAGAAGGGAGTTTACAAGGAAAAACAAAAATTAGGGAAAAAGAGAGAGAGAAAAAAAGTTAAAGCTATTTATTTAATGCTTTGAGGTCAGCTTTTAAAACGAGCTACAAAGAAAATATATGATCTCCAAACGCACGATTAGTTTGAGAAACATCCTAGACTGAAATAAAACTAGGTGTTACTGCAAGCTAAATCACTGGATGCCGTTGCTAATTGTTGCGTGTGTACTTTCTCTAACTCTCAAATGGATGAACCTGAGAAAACGAATTCTTGTGTTTCTAAATGAATGATGAACTTCCTTCTCCTCCTAAACTCTGCCGGAACACTGTGCTGACACCGATCCTTCAATCCCTTATTACACTCCTCTACCCAGTGACTCTGCCGTCTGCTAAACAACACAGAGGAGGTTGTTAAAACACTCGGCTAAGTTAGATTGTTAACAGACGGAGATGTATCTCTGTTATTAAAATGTCAGTGCTCCTAGTTTGACACGGACCTAGCCTTCCGTCTACATTCACCAATCTGTTGGTCTTATATATGTGTCGCAGCAGATAGAAATTGATCTTTCTGCTTGGGCGGTGAATCTCACACCTCCTGTCACAGTCTGAAAGAAACAAAGTCTTGCTCAAGTTGTTTGTTTTTGTTTGTTTTAACATTTTCAGTCGGACCAATTCTTACCTCAATATGACCCTGGTCCCAGGAGACAAGTGAGATTCAGAACACAGCGGAAAAAAAGTGGCACAGATGGCATGACTTCTCCCTGCCCTGCTACTTATATACAGTAAGTGATCAAATTGACACAAAGGAGATGCTAAGGGTACAAAAGCTACATACACTACATGTGTTTATACAATATTATTCATAACCAAGTAAGAGTACGTCTTAAGCAGATATGTGGAGTGAATACATTAGAGCAGGGAGAGTTTTTCAACCTTGAAGTTGCAACTCCTCAGGGGGTCGCTCAAATGTCAAATAAAAAATTTCATATAAAGTTTTTTTTAACTAAATATTCTTCTAATTTTAATTTATATTCACTTTTATATATGCATGTATATATTTATATACATATATGTATATACAGTATCTATCTATCTATCTATCTATATATATACATATGTATGTATGTATATATATATAAATATATGGAGTTCGAATGAAATACAGCATATAAAAGTATCTGTGCTTGCACATCTAGATTACGGCAGTGATCACATGACTGTTAACTCTGTCTGTCTTTCTTCCCTTCTGCCCGTGTCTGCTGAGAAAATCAGTGCGATCACACTGTCTTTGTCATTAGTCTCACTCGCATCCCCTGGTGCCGTGGATATAAATACCTCTCTCCCTCACCCTGTCCTTGTTGGTTCATTGTTCAGCGTATGTCAGTCATGGTCAAAGTGGTCATGGTGGTCAAGGTTTGTCGTTTAGTGTTCTGTTCTAAGTTTGACATCGACACTACGTGCTCATGTTCTTTGTCCACGCTTTGTGTTCCATGAGCTTCATGTCTCTGCTTTTGTTTTGTGCTCATGCCATGTACGTGCCCGTGCTATGAGTTTTGCCATTTGATAATCTAATGATCAAAATGGCTACGTGTCTTGGTGTTGACATCACAGCTCCCCGTACTGATTTTGTTATTTTGATTTGCTTGTAGCAGTTATACCCAAATGCAGATGATACCAAGTAACTTATTGTGTTTATTATACATCAGGTTATTTAAATTTTGATGTGACGACACGTTTTCTTTGTCTTTTCTTTACTACCGTATATTACTGGGAAACGGCAGTGCTCTGAAGCAGTAGAGACAGCGGCCCACTCCTCACGGAAGATGAATGAGTAAAACACCAGTTAATGTAGTGATTGGTTTCTGTCATATTTATGATCCCTTCTACATTCAACAATTTGACACATCGACACATTTACTGAACATATAGTTACACCAAATATCTGTACATATATGTATGGTCCAAACGGTTCCTAATGTATAACGTACTGGTACAGATGTAGCCCTATCGAACGGACCTTTTCAGTGTCTGTGTTCACTTGAGTTTTACTCCAAACCAAACCAAAATGACCTTTACAGCACATTAACTGTAACAAAGCTTTTTTTTGGGAAATACTATTTTGTAGCACATTAGAGATGACAGTGAACATCGATAAGACGGTCCGTGTGACAGGTTTGCAAAGACCTTGGGGGCCCATCAAGTAGCGGTTATTGCTGCTCCGACAACAGGATTTCATCTCTGCTGTAAAGAGAGAGAAGACGACGGGGCAGTTGACTGCTCAGTGAGCCGAAACCTAAGTTGTCCATATCAGTGCCAATGGCTTACTGGGGAAACTATTCCAGGAGAAATATTGGACAGAGACAAGCCAGAAAAGGTATTTCATGGATTCGAGGACATTTTTCTCTTTTGTTCTTGCAAGTAAAACTTAGTTAGTTAGTTTGACCTGCAGACATCATTTCTGGAAATAAAAGTGAGACTGTGGAACAATGAAGTTAAGCGATAAGATTTTGGAAGCGAGGAATGTCAGCAACCAGGGAGTCAACTGTTAAAAGTTTAATGAAAAGGGGTAGGGGGGAAGGTGGGGGCAACCATTGCCAACACTGGTCCAATGTTCTTGCCTGGAAGGGTAGAGGGTTGCTAGTTGAATTTATGTTCACAGGAAAAATGATTATTTCAAAATGGTTACCTTTCTTTTGTAACAGATTCAAGTACTCAATAATATTTACTTAATTCCAACAAACAACTTATTTATTCAACTGCTTCCTACAGGGGTTGCCACAGTAGATCATCTGTCTGCCTCCCTACTTAGTTTCCTGAAGGGAACTCCTAAGGGATTAATAACATTCCGTCTGTCTGTCTGTCTGTCTATCTATCTATCTATCTATCTATCTATCATCTATCTATCCATCTATCTATCTATCATCTATCTATCTATCTATCTATCTATCTATCACACCTTCTCCTCTGAATCCTTTGTCCTATAAATTCCCTATCCCTCCTCTACAACCATCTGAACCTCATCATCATCTTCACTCAGACGATCAACTCGGCAGAGTGAAGATGATTACAAGTGGATTAGAGTGTATGTATTTCACCATACATTATTTCAACCGTCTAATGAGTCTAATTGACCTTATTAATCAACCCACTTTAATGACCCAGAAATGCAACAAGTAGTGAAATGAGCTCATGGAAAAAAATCATGTCACTTTTCAAAGCCTGAACATTATCTCTTATTTTCTGCACAGGTTGCTGTGTGGCATTTAGGCAGACGAGTCCTAGCTTCCAAACAAGGAATTGCGGTTTGGAAGCAGCTACTTTGACTGAATAATGAAAACAGGCATTTAGGCAGGCGAGTCCTAGCTTCCGAACAAGGAATTGCGGTTTGGAAGCAGCTTGATATGTGGTTTAGCCTGGAACGTTTTGTTTCAATGTGAGTTTTTTATATATTTATTATGCTTTAAGCTTTTTTCTGTAAAGCAAGGTCGAAACCTCCTCTGTACAGCAATTAGTGAATTGCGCCGAGATGAAAGGAGGCATGGTAAACATATCCAGGCTTTATGCTGACCTCTATTTTAAGAATGGGACAAAAAAAAAAAAAAAAAAAAAACGCTCCGTTACACACAAAATACTGTGTCTGGGCAATAGGCTGGAGCTGAACATTTCTTATTTCAGGAAAGTGGGGCAGTGACGAAGGGTGTTTATTTGTGTTGAATTGAAATATTAAAGGAGGACACCGACTCAAAGCCATTTCACAATCAATAGAAGACACAGGCTTCATTAAAAATTTGCAGGAAGTCAATGGTAAAACTTTCATGGAAAAGGGTACAGATGAATAATGGATGTGCCAATGATTTGAGAAGAGAAAACAGCTAAGGGTCACCCAGAGTCCAGAAAGTATTGGATATTTTTTACAGGCACCCTTCAGTTACTGCCGGTGGCATATGGTAGACGGGAAATTAAAAGTTCCCACACAGGCGCCGCATGAAATTGTTGTTTGTTTAAAGATGACATATCCACTCTGAAATTCATGCATGTGTCAGCATTACTGGTTAATCACGGGAGTGAAAAGTTTTAATGAGACTTTTCAAAATGGTAAAACACCTGTGCGTTCAAACAGAAAATGAGCGTATTAGTCACAGGGAATAGTTAATCGTGGCAGCCGCAGGAGGAATAGTAGGTGTAGATGAATCAGAATGCAAATGAAGGCATCATCCCTAATGCGTAATGCTGGCTGCTGTTGTGTTGGATGAGTTTAGGGAATAAACGGGTCGGCCAGTCTGGGCTGACTGTTTACTGCTGTGCCACCAGTGAAGCCCTGGCTACAGTTGAGGACATTGAGGAGTGGATACGCAGCAGTGACATTTTAAGTGGACCTTACAGTAGTTTTCTGCCTCAGGACATCTCACCACAGCAAAGGCGACCACATGAATTTGTGTTTTCGCTCATCTTTTTTTTGTCTCCCCATCTTCTTCCATCTTTTATGCTCTGAGGGTGGCAGTCTCCTAGACATATGAAAGAAGCCTCCAGCGGATATCGTTTAGGGGCAAGGGCACTTCACCAGGCTGCAAACATATGCCAATATCTCAGAATACCAGTCTAATGGAAGGTCCTGATAGAGAGTAATGGATAGAATGGATGCTGTAAGTGTAGAAATCATGGACAAGCATTATTACTGTATTTTGTAATTCTAATAACCCTAAAGCAGACATACTTTCGGCACGGGTGTCAAACACATTTTGGTTCAGGGGGCCACATTTAGGCTGATTAGATGTACTGGTGGGCTGGACCAGTACAATCATAACATAATTACCTATAAATAAGTCCATGGTTCTCTCCTTTATTTACATGCAAATAAGTACAAATTTATTATTAAATATTCATATTTTATGAACTACAATTTGACATCATAGAGTTAAAGTGTCTATGCATTCTTTCCCTTTCAAAATTCATCAAGTGGGCCCCACTGAACCCCCCAGTGGGCAGGTTTTGGCCAGCGGGCAGTATGTTTGACACCCCTGCTTTACGGTACTCATTAGTATTATTATTAATATTATTATATCATGCAGGGACAGCACCACATACGTTAGAATTTTAGACAACTTTATTGTGCTCTACCAGCTACTGTCAAGATGCAGAGTAATGACCAAACCTGACTACTCTCTGAGGCTAAAGTTTGAGTTATACTTCTATACACACGGAATACATTCAACTATCTGCTGTTGTTTTTATGTTTTTTTTTTTATTGAATAAACATACAATGTTCTTTTTGTCATATTTGGGAAGGTTGACTTATTTCAAATAATCATGATTAATAGTGATCAACGAGATCAAGATAAATGATATTAATTCATTGTGATTAATCTACAGCTACACTGTGATTAATGTAGTAAAAAAAACACAGAAAAGGTACAAAACTTTACAAAAAAGGAGGTTAAAAAACTAGAAGTCAAAAGAGTACTTTTGACTTTGGAGCTGATTATTAAGGGGAGAACGGAAGCCACTCAGACAGGCCTGCAATCGTGGACCCTAATAGCTTATTGATCCAGAAAGTCCATCAACCAATTTGCTCCCACAGGATACATGGCTGGTGTTACTTCTAAGTACAGGGACCACCATATACGGTTTGGGCCACCTTGTTAACAAATCTGGCTGTTCTTTATGGACTGATTACCCTGTATCTGTGTAACAATAGCAACGGACCTCATGAAGAACAAAGATAACATTTTAACTGTTTGCATACATCGGTGTTCCTTGGTGGTCATACACCGATACTCAGGTA